TTGTTAGTGCAGAGGAATTATCCCAAATGTTATCCTCACTGGGTAGAAGAGAAAGCTTTGCATAGGACATGATCTGAAATATATTGATCGATGGTTAAATTTTTTTTTTTTTTTTTGAGACAGAGTCTCATTATGTCGCCCTCAGTAGAGTGCTGTGGCGTCACTAACACTGTGGTAAACTCCAACTCTTGGGCTCAAGTGATTCTCTTGCCTCAGCCTCCCAAGTAGCTGGGGTTACAGGCACTTGCTACAATGTCCGGCTATTTTTTGTGGCAGTTGACATTGTTGTTTAGCTGGCACGGGTGGGTTCGAACTCACCACCCTTGGTGTGTGTGGCTGGCGCTGTAACCACTGTGCTACGGGCGCTGAGGCTGGTGGTTAAATATTTGACAAATGAATTCTACTCTGTTCTTAGACTTACCAAGGCTAAACATAATCAGAAACCGATTTGCTAACCTCTATACTGAGCTATACATTATCATTAAAAAACTTACAGTTAAAATTTTAAAGCCCAAAAGCCTAAAAAGGTATGAATAAAAATTTTGTGAGATGAATTTTCCATTGTCATTATTTGAGCAGCCACTGTATTTCATGATGAAGTTAGGAATTGGAGTTGAATGGCAAACAAGGCCACTTCTTAAAAGAAAACTTTAACCAGCGCTCATCTTTCTCTCTCTCTCTATTTATTTTTTTGAGATAAAGTCTCACTCTGTTACCCTGGGTAGAGTGCCATGGTGTCATATCTCACAGGTACCTCAAACTCTTGGGCTCAAGGGATCTTCTTGCCTCAGCCTCCCAAGTAACTGGGACTACAGGTGCCCACCACATTGCTTGGCCAGTTTTTCTATTTTTAGTACAGTCGGGGTCTCACTCTTGCTCAGCTGGTCTCAAACTCCTGAACTCAAGGGATCCTCCTGCCTCGGCCTCCCAGGGTGCTAGGATTATAGGTGTGAGCCTCTGCGCCTGCCCTGTCCTTCTCTTAACACTTCACACGTTTATTCACTTTGAAGACTGAACCTTACCCCCAACATCTACAAACTCTAGGGTTACTTCTGCTGACCTGTCCCACGCTCCGGCCCCTCCTGCCTGGCAGGTCTGCCTCAGCTTACCTCAGACCCCTTTTTTGTGCTTATACGGCTGGGACTTGCATCAATGTCCAAAGTTATGATTTAATAAAAAAATAATTAATAAAAAAAAGAAGGCTGGGACTAAATCCGTTAACCCCTTGCAGGCTTGGATCCGAGCATACGAGATCCCCAAGTGCAACATCCAAGGGCTGGAGCAGTGTCAGTGAGTTGTTCCTTCAATCTTTCCAAAGAGCAAGTAAAATACATTTATGGTAATAATAATTGGCAAAATGGAACCCTTACACATTAGGGGATGGTGCCTATCTACGCTGATCCACAGAAAGTGACACTTTGTCTCACTCCCACTGAGCTTCATGCTGTCCTCTAAAAACAAGGAAGACTGCCCTACTTCCACCAAACCTTTGCTTCTGCCATTCCGCACTCTCCCTCCTCCCCAGCCCAGAATGTCCTCCCATCCTTCTCCAGCAAATCCTTCTCCAGCCCCGGTCCACTGTGGGTGCCTCCTTGCTGAAGCCCCTCTGGGTCACTCTCCCCTAAGCTGCCGAGATGAGCTGTCTCGTGGATATGTGTCTTGTATATATCACAGATTATGACCTTACTCTACTATTTATTTCTTGCACTGCTCTTCAGCCTTCTCTAGGCAGGCCTCAACTCCACAACTAGCCCATAAACTGCTTAAGGGAAGGATTACGTCTTGCACATAGTGCCTGGGCCCAAGGGAATGCTTGCGTTGTCATTTTTATTGGCAGGTTCTACATAACAAATTGCACACGGTCATAACAATTAGGACTGGACTCATAGATATCCATGAAATCAAATCTGACTGCACTGAGCAGCATTCCCAGGCCACTAAGAAGTTTGGCTAGTGAATAATGACAATGATAACAACATCTGCCACTTACAAAGTACTTGTTAGGAGCCTGGCGTGCTTCTGCGTGCTTTATTTAAATGCACATGATAACGCTACAGAGCAACTTGCTATCCTCACTTTACGTAGTGATAATCCTACAATTGTTACCCCCATTTTACAGATGGGGAAACAGAGGCACACAGTGAAATAGGTGCTCAAGCTGGGAAACGGCAGAGCTGAGATTTCAAACCCAGATTTAGAGCACAAAGACGGCATAAAACTGTCCCTCTACAGATAGTGAAGGGGACGAGGAGAGGCTGAACTAGGAATAGCCAGGAATAAGAAAAAGTGCTAGCAAAGCTCCTACCATCTTTGTTGTTCATGTGTAATGCTGAATAATATGTGGCATGATAATTATTCCAGCAATTAAACAGGTTGTCTAGTTTCTTATGGTTTCAGGTTGTTGATTTTCTTTTTTCAGGTTGTTGATTTTAAAATGCAATTTAAAATGTACTCCCAAAATGATTAGCTCAGAAAATGAGTTACTTTTTTCCCTCTCATTAGATATCTATTTGATATGTCTAATTGGAAATTGTCCTTATGTCTAATTATACTATCCCAGAGATAAATGATTTACAATCGGTCATGACATGACCACCTTCACCTGGTTAGAACGCGATATGTAATTAACATCAACGGCAAAAAATAAGTCTCTTGACTTTACCGTAACTAGGCATAAAAATGTTAGTTACAGCAGAGAGAAACTATAATGTGTAACAAATAGTGTGTGTATCAAATCTAAACATGTAACATGGTAGAAGTTTCTGACTGGGCATAGGCCCCACCTGCTAATAAAATTCCGTTTTAATTGTTTTGGGGTTTTCACTGAATAAAGTCAATAGTGCAGAGGAACAGAATCACAAATAACTGAAAAACCATTTTGGCACTAAGGCTCTATTTGGATAAGATCTAGAAGAGAACTAGAAATATGACAGCTGTAGAATAGCAGCGGCCCTTCATTTTCTTACTGCTTTTATATTTGCATCGATAAATATTAGGGGCAAAAAGAAAACACAGATTGTTTGTGCCTGTGCAAACACAGTGGTAGTCAGACCGTAAGTTCAGATTTTACCGAATAGCAGGTTGTGAATTAATCTTCCAGATTTCTTGGGGTATTTCATATGAAGTAGTCTCTACCCCGGCGGTGCCCTTTCCCCAGATTCAATTCCTGGACGATCACTTCCACTTCCCATAGAAAACTATGTGGGGCCTTACTGACACACTCAGAGGAAATGATGAGTTTTTCGGGCAGAATGAATGGACAAGTAGTGAATTGGTGTCCAAGAGGCTGCCAAGGACTCTAGTCATTTAAGAAGACACAGAGGTGATACACAACGCACAATAATCACGTTTGCGTCAAAATCCTAACAAGCAAGCCCTGCTGTGTATAAACCCTTCATGGGGAAAAGGCCACCACATTTCTACCAGGGGCACAGAGAGGGTGTGGATGACGGGTAACAGCTGCCCAGACACATCAGCCACATCAACTCCAAAAACCAACGGAGTGACAGCTGCCTCGGGCAGATCACTCCCTCTTACATCCTGGGAAAGGGCTGGGCTGGGCAGTTTATTTCATTTTGTTTTATTGTATTTATTCAATTGGTTAATTAACATTAATGGGGGGGCAATTTCAGAAAGTAAAAAGGCATAATTTTTTTTCTTGGTAATCAACAACCTGAGGTCTTGAAGGTTACCATAGAAATGAATAATTCAAAAGCCCCTTTAAATAGCAAGCTCTCCTTAGGTGATTAATATATATATTAAGTGTATTTGCTAGTATGCAGACGTCTCAAGCTTCACTAAGATGGAATCACATGAAGCATTTGGACCTGCACAAATTCGTAAATGTTGTGATAATTTCTAGTAAAACAAAGAACTAAGGAGATTATGAGGTTAATTTCCTTGAAGTCTCTCAGTAGTTATTTGTGTCTGTGGGTGATTTTATAACTTATGACACTGTATAAGGAATGCTAACTAAATTCATGGATTTTATTTTTTGCCTCATCCTCAGAAAGCCTCGGGGCTAATTCAGGCCTGGTTGTAGCAATCAGCTGTCTCCGAGGCCTCCTGCATGTTTAAGTAGCTTCTCTCCTGTTTATTTTGTACTGTTTTATCCTGTAAGCTGTCTCAAGGCCCTTCCAATATAAGCATGAGGATTTAAATCTTAATAAATTGACATTTGAATAACTGGCAATCTGGGTTGGGGGGAGGTCTTGAATTATTAGGATAAACATCTCTCCTTCCCAGTTGTACATTTTGCATGTGCTGTATATTTTGCCCCACCATCAAGGTCAATAATAGTAAAAATAGTAATAATAATGATGATAATATTTAGATTTAAATAATACTTTTCCATGTGTAGGAAATACCAATCCCAAGAATGATGATAATATTTAGATTTAAATAATACTTTTCCGTGGGTAGGGAATTTTATTTATAGTTTCTTACTTAATTCTTGGAAGTGTTCTAATAAATAGGATGAACAGGTGTTATGCCCACTTTACAGACGAACAAACTGAGTCACCAAAAGATTAAGACACACCCCAAACCATACGGACAAATGGGGGGGCACCACGACAAGAAAGCGGTTCTTCCGAACAGCCTTCCCAAAATTTGGCCAGATGTGTTAACCTCTGTGTGCGAACAGTAAGACTCAATCACATTCCAATTAAACTTATCAGAGGTACCTTTTCATAAAGCTTAGAACATCACAGAAATCTGGAGTCATCTCTTAAAAAAAAAATCAACTCTGATTCTGAAAGTGAAAAACATGAACTACGCACGAATCTCTCTCTCTAGTCTTCCTGTTATTTTGAAGGAGCAAAAAAAAAAAAAAAGAACTTTTAAAATTGTAATTGAACACCAAAATATTTATTCTGTCCTGTCAGTTCTCATCACTCCAAATTCCAGGGAGTTGAATTTTTAGACCTCGTAGAATTAAAAAATAAAAATCACAAAAATACATTCTCACATTAATAGAAACAACAATTAAAAAGGCTTACCTTGCAGCCCTCACATGTAATGACACCATAATGGATTCCTGATGATTTGTCTCCACAGATCTTGCATGGAATAATTTCAATTTGAGCTGCAACAGAAGCACGCAACCAGTTAATTACATTTTCTTTTAAACACCTTATAAAAGCGTTCCCTGATCAGCATTTGTATAGTGAAAACTAATAACCTGCTAAACATTATACTGCATTAACTATTCATTGCTGAACTGTGAGGGTCCCCCTAGAGCCCTGGACTAAATTATGGCTGCTCGTTATATAATAGCTTTCGGGTTATTAAAATGGGTCATTGGAGAAGGTGTTTAAGAACCCACAAGAAGACTGGAATCAGCATTTCAAACCCTTCAAGAACTGGAGAGTTCGCAGTCGAGGCCTCACAGCAAAGCAGATACTAAAATGTTTCCTCCGATCTCATTTTCCATCATTATTTTTAAAAGGTCATAAATCTGTCTTGGCTGAACATTGTAGCCTGACTGCTGGAGGACTGGACGAGAAAAATATACACTCCAGAAAGTCACATCTACTTAGGAACATGGTTCAATTCAAAAGAGTAGTAAGTTACACACGACAGGAAGTTAAGAATTCCTTACTCATCTTTTTTTAAATTAACGCAGTTGCCACGTGTTATAAAAATTAGTCCATTTGTGTATGATCAAAACCTTTCGATCATAAAGTTAATGTCCTAACTGAATTTAATAATGATGAATTCTGACAAAATAGGAAATGTTGCTTCTGAGTTCTTCATGTTGGCAGTGGGCTTCCTGGTAAGGCAGGCCTGTGTTTCTACCTAATGGATTACTTAAAGCTGCCTATGGTGGAAGAGTAGCCAAATAATTAACATCTATGACTCCAAAGTTCTCAAATATGACAAAGCACATTTCTAAGCAACACTTTATATCTTGAATAGAGTTTAAAAAGGGCATAATTAAGGACTTAAAATGACTTATGTAATACAATGATCAGGCAAAAGATAGTGCTTGGACCACCCATTAAATAGAATTTTTTTTTTTTTGAGACAGATTCTCAGTTGGTCAACCTCAGTAGAGTGCCGTTGCATCTTAGCTCACAGCAACCTCAAACTCTTGGGTTCAAGCTATTCTCTTTCCTCAGCCTCCAAGGTAGCTGGGACTACAGGAATCCATCACAGCGCCTGGCTATTGTTTAGAGACAGGGTCTTGCTTTTGCTCAGGTTGGTCTCAAACTCATGAGCTCGGGCAATCCACCCACCCCGACCTCCCAACAGATGGGATTACAGGTGTGAGCCACCACACCTGGCTTCATTAAATAGAATTTATCTGTGACATATAGACCAATGCTGAGCTATGCAGACCAGACAGCAATAGTCACCAGTTTACCTGGAATGCTCCACCAAGCTACATTTATTTTCCATGGTTTTCACTGCTGAATATCATGTCAGAGTATTCAATTATACACACAACTGCAAGTGCCCAAGTCTATTCATTTTTCTATAGCCCCTTCCTCACCCCATACCTTATGAGGAGTAATGACTCTGTCCAAGGGGCACCACACATATACACATGGCCCACTCTTTCTTCTAATGTAGTCCTGTGTCCTGGGATAATTCCACAACCACTTACTCTGGATTTGATTCCATCTCATACTTAAGACTTAGAAAGGGCACACGTGAACCTACTGTATTAACTTTCTTATAAACCACGTGTACTCCTAACTCCCTTTCATGGGGCCTACTGGTAAGTACTGTGACGACTTTTAGGGAGTGCAAGCTCTTCTAGAAGGAGGGTCTTTTTCCCAACAATTTTTTATTGCTGGCATACCGAGTTTCTTTGCTTGTCCAGACTGTTCAAAATCTCACACCCAATGTACATATTTTCCATAATCCAGAGGCTTTTTAATACCCCAATCTCAGTGACTTTGTATAAATAGGTATATGCTGAGTTATGCAACTTAATAAGTTTAAAAGGTTGTATTTAACAAACGTTGGCATTTACAAGTCTGGCTCCTCACATTAGTGCTCAGCTTGATTTCTTCAAGAAAAGTTCTTTATGAAAGAACTATGAAATATGAAACTTAATAATGCCTCCAACTTAATGGCCCTTCCAATATATGTTTTTTTTATTTTAGAGACAGAGTCTCACTTTATCGCCCTTGGTAGAGTGCTGTGGCATTACAGCTCACAGCAACCGCTAACTCCTGGATTCTCTTGCCTCAGCCTCACGAGTAGCTGGGACTATAGGCACCTGGCATAACGCCTGGCTATTTTTTTGTTGCAGTTTGGCTGGGGCCGGGTTTGAACTCACCACCCTCAGTATATGGGGCCTGCGTCCTACCCACTGAGCCACAGGCACTGCCTGGCCCTTCCAATATTTTTAATGATATTAAGGCAAGGACCTGGGCCTATATATCGTCTGCAACTCTAGAGACAAAGTTATCCCTAATGTTTTTCAGAGGCTCAGGAAAGCCAAGTGGATAGAAAAATTCTGAAAGGAGGTATCTGCAGAGAGTTATGGCCTGGACGTCCCCTACGTGAATTACCCAGTTGTAATGAGAACCAGCCTGCCCTCCGCCCTGCCCCACAGGAATAGAATAATCAGTCAACACGAAGTGCCGGCGACACCTGCCATGTAGAACTTAAAAGTGAAAGGAAGAAGACCTACTTGGAGGGGCTTCTCTCATATCATACCTCAAGGCTTCATCACAGAAATTAAGGATAAACAAACCTCTCTGGGCCCTCTAGTTCCACTCAGCATCAAAACTACCCGAGGCACTTAAAACAACACTAAGGCTGAACTTGGACCTTTCAAGAGTTATCTGTATTCCATCTTAACAATAGGGAGATCAAGTGTATCTATTTAGTCCTTTACAAGACTATGAAGGCCCCAGGCAGGGCACACTGGGGAAACTGTAAAACTGCCCTGGGATGACACTGCCCGTGATAGACGGCACTGAGGTTGTCCTGTCCACGTGGACTCCTGCGCGTTACTAATGACAAGTGAAATGATGACTTTAGGGCTCTGACCAACATGCTGTCTGGCATGGAGGATGTGGGGGTGGCCTTGGCCCCAGCATTTCTGGCCTTGACACGACTCATGGCCGGGCTGGGGGACAGTGAGGGCGCAGCTGTAGCACTGACCCAGAGTTTGGTGCTGCTGTGACACAGGATGGCCGGCCCAGAAAGCATTTGCAGAGGGGAGCGGGACACTCATTCAGCCCCCACCCCCCGTAATCCAACAAGGCACAAAAATCCTTCCCCACTCCTTGTTTTAATCAATTTACAGAATTCAAGTGAACCAATGAGAAAAATATATATATATATAGTCAAGGCCTTGCAAATTTTTCGAAAGGAAGGCAGGTTTAGTCCTACGAATTTAGGTTTTCAGCCCAACAGGAAGAAAAGGACAAAAATCCCTTTGCCCCTTTCCTTCCATCCCTTAGGCTTTCCCATTTTGTACCAGGCAGTGTTGTGTCTTCTCAAAATAATCTTCTTTTAACACAAATTACGAGTCCTGGCCCATATATATACCGCACACATTAACTCAGCCAGCATTTCAAAGGCTGAATCCTGTCAGACACCACTCCTGTCAACGTTCACAAGTATATTGATTAAATTAGTCCACATACATATTCATCCCCGCAAAGAGGGCTATTGTGGAGTGGAGTATCTGAGGCAAGACGCGCACATATAATCATGAATTGGCTTCACAATGAACAATCTTGCTCTGAAGAATTCTAATTTGCCCACATTTTCAGCTCTATTGCCTAAATAATTTGCTCTCTGGTGCACCCCATGTAATTCAAGCAGGCTCTCCACACCTGCAGAGGCAAATGTCTGCAGTTTCAAGGAGCTGACAACAAGTGGCAGCGGGGCGTCAGGGAATCCTGGGATGCCAGCCCGCTCATTAACCAAGTGGTCCATGGGCTGGGCTGCCGTTTAGCATTGCAAGTCCATAGAAAGTTTGCCTTTGCTTTTTAATTATGAAAGGCACGAGAACAGGGGAACTGGCATTGTAAAGAGTTCATTTATTCTTCAGGACCCCTCTCGGAAGATACCGTGGTCCAGAGAAAAAAGCCTGTTCTCCCAAAGGATTAAAAACAACATCGTACCAGAGAAGCACTCATCCCGTCATTGTGCGGGGAGTAATCTCTTCATAATAATGTAATGGATCTGTAATAATAAATGGTATCTGAAATGTATTTGGGTTCATCACGTGTCAGCACTCCTCCAGCACCCCAGGAGGTGGGTGTCACTAGTTAAGCTGCTGTCCTTGTCATCATCAGCACTGTCTGCATTTTTTTCGGATGAGAAAACTGAAGCTCAGAAAGGCTCAATAACCAGTCACCGTCAGAAGCTAGGAAGTAGGATGGCTGGGATTTAGACGCGTTTTGACTTTTCGTTTAACTCAAAAGTTTAGGCCCCTCCCACCCCACAGCCCCCACTTTCTCTCCATTCTGCCATGAAACCTAAATCTGCTCCAATAGTGAACATCCTGCTCTTGGTCTGTGATCCTTAACCAAGGATCAAAGCGGTGGGGAACCTGCAGTCTTGGGCCCACATGGATCCTAGAGGCTGATCTTTAGACTGAATCTACATTTTACAGAACAAAACCTTTGCAGAAAGGAATGTGTCCTGAGGAGTTTGGATCTGGTCAAGGGGGCCGCACTTACGGACTCCAAAGAATTGGGTTAAATTTAAAAACTACTCAGGGGCAGATGTCAAGATCCCTTTCCGGGAGTCATCTGCCTCGTTGATAACTGAAAATAACCTGCAACTTTCTACATCATTCTTCTCAATTTCACAAAATTCCAGGTGAAACTTTGACCTTAAAATGACCCATAACTTGACTTCACGATCATCTACGGCTGGGCAAATTCCTGAACCTCTCTGAACCTCAGTGTCATATTTTAAAATTCAGTAACATGATATGTTATCACAGCACAAATCTGATATTTATATGTAATTATTTTACGTTATTCTCTCTACAGGTGTAGCACATAGTTCTTCGAAATAGTTGGCACTCACTAAACAGTTATTATTATTGTTGTTGTTGATAAGGAATCCTGCCTTACAGTGAAATGAAATTCTTTTCCTCTAGGC